AAGGAATCACTGTAGTTGTTAACTTAGTGACATGGTTGTTAAGTGAATCTGGCTTTCCCATCTGGCTTGTCAGAAGGTCACGATCACATGATCCTGGGCACTGCAACTGTCATAAATATGAGTCTGTTGCCAAGTGTTTGTGACCCTGGGGATGCTTCAATGATTAATAAGTGTAAAAAATTGTGATAAGTCACTTTTTTCAGTGCTGTTATTAACTGTTGTAAGTCGAGGATTACCTGTACTAACTGATGAACATGGTAAATTTCTTGGAGTAGAAGCTATATGAGGTCGGTCCTGGGAGTTTGTGCCTCAGATGAAGGTAAAGTTATTTTTTATAAACAACGTACAGAGAAAGTAATGGAATGATTTTTATGAAAGTTGGTGCTTGGAACTTTGTCATGGAACTTTGTTTTTAAGGTATGTATGACACCTGCAACAGGATTATTCTATGATCAGAAGTGGAAAGGTTTGACACGGCCCACAGTGGAATTGGCTGGTGAAGATGGTGGAACTTGCTGAGATGGCTAAACTAACTTCTTTGATTAGAGAAAAGATCTCTACATTTATGGATGACCTGAAGCCCCTTATAGATTCTTGCATGAAACAGGAAAAAAGTGCACATTTAATTCAATTTATTTAGTTATTTATTAAATTGATATGCCGTACATCTCACTATCAAATAACACTTATGACTTGTGCCTTTGATTAGAAAAAAATGGATAGTAGCAAAAAGTGAACTTTTTTGTGATAATTGAGTAAGAGGAAACCTTGTAATCATACTTTTATTTGTTGCAAGGGAAATTCTATTTTATTCTTCCTGTCAGACTTCGATGCTATCTCAAAATAAATGAATTTCCAAACTGCCAATCTTTAAGGAAATCTTTTCTTTAATTGAGCACAGCCACCGGATCATGACTCGATGCGGACAAGACTGACCTTTTGCCCCCCAATCCCTCCCTTTCCTTTCCCCAAATCTCTGCTTCTCATTGGCTATCTTCCAAGTCATTCTTCAGACTTCTTGTCTCGTCATTTCCCAGGAATGTCTCCCCCCTTCATTTCCACGACAACCCGACTTCAAAGGGATTTAGCAGGCAAAAGTTCAGAGCTTATCTCTCTGTCTCCTCTACTCTCTATGCCAGCGTCGAAGCGCTGACATCTCCTTTCTTTTTTCCCCTTTTTCTTTGCGCTCTTTTTTCAGAATTGGTTAGTTTTTATGTTCTCTTTAAAACTCTTAAATGAATATATATATATATACTGTGTTTCTCTGAAAATACGACCTACCCTAAAAACAAGCCCTAACCCAAATTTCATGCCTGTGCCTAATATAAACCCTATCCCCAAAATAAGCCCTAGTTAAGCCCCACCCACCATCTGGTTGTATGAGATGGGGCGAAACGTAGATGTAAAAATCAAGCTAGGGTGGGGATGAAGCTGCCCCACATGCCCTGCACTCACTTACCTTAGGACTGCTGCAGCCAGGCCTCCCACACTCTGACACCTGTCACTCTGCTGTCGAACGACTTCTGCGGTGTCCCGCCACAAGCAGCAGCACCAGTGTGATGAGCCTTATGGCATCCTGCCATGAGCGGCAGCACCGGCACAACAAGCCACACAGCGTTCTGTGAGTAGCAGTACTGGTGCGATGAGCCACAGAGTGCGGCCATGAGCATCCGCAGAAGAAGTCAGGCAGCAGCGCAACAGGTGTTGCAGCATGGAATTTGTGGCTGTGGTGATCCTAAGGTAAGTTGGTAAGGCATCCCCAGAAAATAAGACCTGGTGCATATTTTGTGGCTGAAAAAAAATAAGACCGGGTCTTATTTTCGGGGAAACCTGGGTATATATATTTGTATATACTAAAATTACTGTATATAAATGCTATATACCACATATACCATCTGGTTGCAATGTCCTATGGTCATGTGATTGCCCCTTGCAACCTCCTGCTGACTTCCCTATTGATTTGCTTGTAAGAAGCTGGCATTGAAGGTCACTAATGGCAATCATGTAATTGCTATGATGTAATTGCAAGCTAATTGCTGAGTGCTCAATTCACAAGTACGTGACTGTAGGGAAGCTGCAATAGCTGCAACTATGAAGACCTCATGCAAGTTCCTGTTGTTCAGCACTGATGAAACTTTGAAAAATTGGCCCATTCATTGAGAATTACCTATATGTAGTAAGTATAATATTGATCAGATTCAGCTTTTTTTTAAAAAAATTACTTTTTAATTTAATATTGGGGCATATTTTTCACAGCTTTGAAGTCCTGGAATCAGCAGCCAAGGGATTTCCCATTAGGCCCTGTAAACTTTGAAATGCAATTTAGTGCGTCACTAATTGTAATGGCCATAGCCGTACCGCAACTGCAATTATTATTTTCAGAGCTGGTATCATTAGCCACACTTATATAGTGCTCAGATTTATCATTACTGCAACATAAGCTCTGTAGAAGAAGTTTAATTTAAATTTTGAGAGCTTTTGTTGTAAGTGCTCTGTTATGTATTAAATTCTTTCCTGAGAGTGGAAGCTGGCCTAATTGCTGTGGAGACCTATGGGCAGCTTTGCCTCCTGAAATATTGTTAACGCTTCTTTGACTTTCCTAGTTTTGTACGGCAGTCTGTGAAAATGCCTGCTATATAAGCATCCTGATCAATTTAAAATTCTATGAATTATGAATACCATCTGCCTTTGCTTGGCCCTCAGATAGCCTGTTTTGAGTTGAAGCAAAGTCCCATAACATGCATGACCTATGTTCCTGGGTGAAGAAGACTTGTTTGCCAAGGATGTAGCAAACATTCTCCTGCCTGTCCCATGGAAGAGCTTTTATTCTTGCCCATTGAAGTGTTTTACCATCTCTGCAGTCACATCCCTGCATAAGAACAATTCTGCCTCTTGCTTACTAGAAGAAATAGAAAACCTCTCATGTCTTCTTCATGGCTTATGGTGGGCTGGCCTAATGATGTCTTTTTAAACCCCCTCATGCCAACTCGAAGGAAGAGATTATTCGCCTTTTAACTGGTAGGTTACCAGTTATCTCCAAAACCGATTTAATGCAATTGCCCTTGCTATCAACTGTTAGCAGTTTTTGTTACTGTGATACTTCTTATTTACGTAGTTGCTTATTACATTCAGTTATCCATAATGAGCTTTTCTGTTTTCTAATGTTTGTTTTAGTCTTTGGCTGTAAAATAAGTATTATGTTCTTGATCTCACTACAAGGTCATCCTGATATCCTGCCCTGTTCCTGGATGACCTTAGAGCTAGATCAAGTACAATATATGTGTTTATTTTTAAGATCAGTGTCTCTTCGAGAGCCTTGCTCAGTCACTATTATGAGCTAAGGTGGCGCAGTGGTTAGAGTGCAGTACTGCAGGCTACTTGTGCTGACTGCCGGCTGCCTGCAAATTGGCAATTCAAATGTCACCAGGCTCAAGATGCCTTCCATCTTTCTGAGGTGGGTAAAATGAGGACCCAAATTGTTGGGGGCCAGAGGCTGACTCTGTAAACCCCTGAGAGGGGCTGTAACAAAGCACTGTAAAGCACTGTAAAGCGGTATATAAGTCTAAGTGCTATAGCTGTTGTTAGCTTGGAGGGGGAAATGGGAACTATTTTGAATTGATGGCTCCTTTCTTGGGTTTTGCATTGACCCAGATTGAAAGGAGAAAATGTGATTTGGAATGTGTGGTGGTGTTGTGGCCCGCTGGCGGCCAGTGGAGCTGGCAGCAGAGTCAGACAGTGAGGAGGTTGGGAAGGGGTCCTGGGGGCTGGGGAAAGCTCGGATGAGGGCTCTGCATCGGAGGCAGAGAGGGATATAGACAGCAGCGAGGAGAGGAACAGCTGGAGCCCGTTCCCAGTGTGTGCATGCGCAGAGCTGCCAGAAGACAAGAACAACTCAGAAAGCAGGGTCGACTTGGGAGTAAAGCCACACCTTGGAGATGATTGGCTCCTCCCATAGGAAACAAAAGAGGAGCGAACGGGGAGGGGGCATTTGCAGGAAATAATTCTTTCGTTCGGTACTTTCAAAAATCGAAAGTTCTGTTCGTGACTCTAAGAGACTCTGTGCCAAGTTTTGCCTTACTCTGAGTTTGGAAACAAGTTACGTGGCAGCTTGCCAAACGATATAAAGTGTGTTGAGAAATATTCCTTTGAAAAACTGTTTGGACAAACCTTGCTGAAACCTTGCAAAAAGCCTGTGTTTTACTTATCTTTTTTTCCAACCTAGCAACAAATTGGAAAGAAATTATATAGAAGAGTTCAAGATTCTTTATGATCGTCTGTTAGCAGGATGATTATCTAAAACCTGAATAGATCAGGAAAGGGGACTGGTTGACAGAGGGGTGATCAATTTTGAAATGGCTGAATTACACAGGGAACTGTGGAGGGAAAAACTTATTCCTATATTGCCACAATGAAAGAAAAACTTGCAGCAGCTTACATAGAAAGCATGTTCTGCATGCCTTAACAGTTATTGCCTGCCCCCCTTTTTTAAGTAATCAATCTAGCCAGGGATGGGTTTCACATATTGTTGCCACCGGTTTGGCGTGCATGCGTGCTTGCATACACACGTCTTCTCTGCATGTGGCTGGCCTTCAGCACATGTCCTTTGCTCGTGCATGCACCTTCTGTGCATGTGCCCGGCCTTGAAAATGTAGCTAAATAGGACGGCATTACATCTGGGATGCGGGGGGCACCCGCAGTCGCCCGAACTGGTCCGAACCGGCTGAATACCACCTCTGAATCTAGCCTTCCAGCTGTATTGTTCAGCTAGAACTCCTTAGCCAATGTTACTTCAAGATGGAAGGTCTCCATCTTCCATTCTGAAGCAGCCCAGCTACAAATACAGAAAAGGAAGCATATTGTAGCTGTTGAATCTTCAGATAATACCAGTTACTTCACTTTGGGGAAATATAGGTCCACCAGGACTTTCATGCCAAGCTCTTAAAAAACAAACAAAAAAACAACCAGTTGCCTGTCATTTTCTTGTGCTTCCTCTTATCCAGGTCTCTCAGGCAGCTGCAGAGCTTCAGCAGTATTGCATGCAGAACGCTTGCAAAGATGCTTTGCTTGTTGGAGTTCCGGCTGGAAGCAACCCATTTCGAGAGCCCAGGTCCTGTGCATTGCTCTGAAGACGGGTAGGTAGGTCCATGGCTTTGTCAAATAGTGCTCGCTCTCTCACTCTAATTTAGCAATAGCAATAGCACTTTGCTTATATACCGCTTCACAGCCCTCTCTAAGCAGTTTACAGAGTCAGCATATGGCCCCCAACAATCTGGGTCCTCATTTTACTGATCTGGAAAGGATGGAAGGCTGAGTCAACCTTGAGCCAGTGAGACTCAGACTGGCAAACTGTTGGCACTCGGCAGTCAGCAGAAGTAGCCTGCAATATTGCATTCTAACCACTGCACCGTCACGGCTCTTGTTATATTTATGGAGTTGATTTGCACAAATTTGGAGACTTTTGTGCTACATCCCTTTAATTTTTTCCTAAAAACATGAGCTAACGATGATGAAAACCAAGTATTCCGTTTATTCTACCCTGTTTCCCCCAAAATAAGACATCCCCTGATAATAAGCCCAATTGGGCTTTTGAGCGCATGGCAATAAGGCCAAGCATTTATTTCAGGGTTCAAAAAACTATAAGACAGGGTCTTATTTTCGGGGAAACACTGTAGATGTAAAGGAATAACAAGAGAGTGCAGAGTGTCTATTTTTCTGCTGAGTTGCTCTCTTTTACACGTGAATTGTGTGGAGTAAAGTAACCTTTATACAGTAACTTAACGTTTTGCTACTCTAATGTAATCTAATTTATGGAATCTTGAAGGAGAACAGTTTTTAATAAAATGTGTGTTTTTTTCCATGTTTCAGGGAAGGTTTTCTGAAAGTCCTCAAGTACAAGAAGAATCCCAGCGGTCTTCCTTGTTTTCCAAACCAACAGTTTCTTTATGTAGGGCTTAAACAGTTTCTTTAGATATTTATTAGTCTGCCTGACTGTCTTAGTAAATGGTTAAATCTTTTGCTAATATAAAGCATTTTATAAGGAAAAGCTTTTCCTTTTGTAATTGATTCGATATGCTTTCTTTAATCCTCTCAGATGTTTACATTTAGAAAAGGACAATGCCAATGATATGTTTCTATTGTGCCTGAAATGAAAAACGTCCCAGGTACCTCCCTACTATCGGCTTTCTGTTTTCTAATCAGAGATGTTTTCAAACTGGTTTGATCCAGGCAAAGTTGGCCATTTAAGGCTACAGTTTTACGCACATTTGTTACTTTTGAATCAACGTGATATATACCAGGAACGCTCCTAGTTAGTATTATAGAACTTCTAAAATTGAGTCTCCCTTAAAAATACCTTGCATTGGTTGGAATATATCCAGTTTGTTAAAAGAAAAGTACTGCTCTGTTCCAGTTGGTTGAAATGAAGAAGATGCACTTCATAGTTAGAGGCATTTACTATAGCTCCCTTGAATGCCCAAGCCCCAATTTTACCCAGAAATACAATCTTGCTATTCAGCTTTCCAGTGGATTAGGAAGAACAGAAGTGTATTTGGAGGGTTGAGAGGTACAAAAGGAACCATGTCATAAATCATCTTCCCATTTAAGCTGGGCACAGTGGCCCATTTGCAGCTGAATGGAACTGGGAACTGCCAAGGATTGATAAACCACTCCTCATGCCAGTCTCTGCAAGGGGGAGGATAGTACAGTGAGATTAAGGTAGGGTGGGGGGATTGAAGAGCCTGGTCCACTGAGACCACGAAGGAAGAGTGAGAGAGGATGCACCAACTCCCAGCATAGGACCCACCAATTTTGGCCAAGTCTACCAATCACATGGCTCCTGACCCTCTAGTACATACAGTCCTTGGGGCTGCATATTCACTACAGAAGATCTTATCTTTGTCTCTTGTGCTTTCACATAAAATAGTTACCTTGCAGAAAATGCCTATTGTTCAGGACATTCCAATGTCACAGACTCCAAAGAATTTTAAACCCTGCCAGATGTCTGCAAGTCTTAGGAAAGGAAAATTGCCCTTTACCCCACCCTATATATTTTTTTTTAACCGTTCCACTCTCATTGATGAAAAGATGCTGCAGTACAGGACAGAAAACACTTCACATAGAACAAGATGAATTTGGATATGTGAAAAGAAGCCTAAGAATTAATCCATTTATACTGGATATCTGCATCAAGATGCTTCATTTTTTGTTGATGTTGCCTCCTGCTGAAGTTACAACATCTATTACTCCGTTTCAGAGAGGGACAAATCCTGTGCTCTCCAAGATAACCTCTTTGGGTCAACATGTTTATAACCTTCAAATATGCCTGTTTGGCAAATAATCACTGATAATAACACTACAAGACATACAATAAATTTAGGCAAAATTTTCCTAGCATTTGCAATATTATTGGAACAATTCACCTTTTTTTTTTTTTTTTTTTGTGGGTCAGGTATCTTTGATTTTGGATTACCAAGCACTTTTATACACGCTGTTTACTTTTAAAAAGAAAGTTCTTTTTTGTTTGTATTAATATATTAAAAGCTTTAAAAAGTATTTTCTTAATTACTGGGATTTTTTTTGTGGAAAGAAAACACATTTAAGGGGGGGGGGGAAATGTTTGAAGAATCTGACCTATGTTAGAAAAATACAAAAAAAAAATCACATCTGTCTCGGTTACCTCCAATACATCAATGATAAAAGTTAAAAGACCGCCAAGGAATTACTATTCTGCCCGTAGATGCCAATGTCAGTAATTTGCAGAGCTCATAAAGAATATTCCCTTGTATCCAGCCCACAGGAACTTCCATATAGGTAGTTCTCAACTTATAACAGGTCATGTATTGACGGTTTGAAGTTCCAATGGACTTCCCCTGAGCTGCTTACAATCTAGTTTCAAAGTTCCAATGGCTCCCCTCCCTATGGTCATGTAATCACATTTTGGGTATTAGGCAACCAGCCCACATTTATGGCTGTTTACACTGTCCTATGATTTTCAGCACTTTTTTTACCACATTTACACTAATTTGCATGGATAAAAAGAAAAAACAGGACTGGACAATAGTAATATTTCATTTGTGAAAAGAAAAGGCTTTGATGATGCCTTTTCAAAAATTGTAATGTGTATCTTGAGAGGAGGTCAATATAAAAAAATTGACACAATAATTATGGAGAGGATAATAGAAAAAGTGTGGAAAGAAAGTAAATTAACCCAAGAAACTTGCTTGAAATACCATGTTCTCTAGATCAGCAGTCCAAAACATTGCTTAAGAGCAATGCAAAAAATGTACAAAATGTTAGATTAGCCTTATAAATAATAAATTATCTTAAATAAATTATTTAAAACTTAGTTTTAAAAACAACCATTTTTAGGATTTGTGTGTATCAGAGTCAGCACCAATAATGCTATTTCAACCCTTTCCCCTTTACCGGAAATTGGTTAAAACAAGTGAATGTGCACATATACACCTGTGCAGTGAATTCTTCAGATAATTGCACTTCTAAGACAGACAGTAATGCCATCAAGAATGCTTTCCTGAGGCAGATTTATACTTTCCCATAGCGGTTTCCAGTGTGGCCCACTAAGTCCATTTACATATAGAGTAGAACCTCTGGTCACGAATGCTGCTGACCACAACCAAATCTGGTTCCAATCAAAAAAATCACAATTTTTTTTTCCTTATGCGGCCGATTTCCTCTTCTACGCCATTTTTTTTGTAAGCACCAAATTTCCAAAATTAGGTTCAGGTCACAACCAAATCGCTTTGCAACCAAAGTTATGGAGCGAATTATGGTCATGACCAGAGGTTCTACTGTACATGGTATTTCACTGGACATGTTTGCATTTGATTTGGCATATAGTGTAAACCACACAGCACCTTGATCACCTATATAAGCCTGCGTAATTCACTATAATCGTGTTCTAATGTACCGTCTGAACTAAGACGAAATTGGACCTCCAGACAAATAGCAGGAATGCTCACAATGTTGACTCACTCCTGGAGCAGTGTCTATGCTGTTCTGGCTATTTTCAACTCCATGGATTGCAGAACTGGAGATACAAAGGGGATAGTGAAGAGTTTCAATTAAAAAACGCAACAGGAAGGGGCAACCAGCTACCACAAGGAGATGACAAAAAAGAGGGAGATGTCTAGTTTTTGACCTCCGTTTTACAGTGGTTGTCTTCCTTTCTTTAGGGGCTGGTTCCACCTGATGGTTGGCAGGGAGTGATCATCCTCCAGGCCCCTCCATTGGATTCTGCAGAGATCTATTCTCGCTCTCCTCCTTTGAAACATCTACATGAAACCATTGGGGGACATCATCTGCCAGTTTGGGATTCAGTGTGTCTAGGGTTTGGATGGGGAGGAATTGACTCAGTCATACCAGAACCAGATGGTTAGGGGTGTTTGGGTGACTTGAATCTGGGAACATCCTGATCTTGGATGGGGTTGCACTTCCCAATGCAAGGGAAACATACAATTTGGGGGGTCTTTCTGAGCTCACAAAGTGATGAGCAGGTGGCAGATATGGCTAGGGAGGCCTTTGCCAAGATTCGTTTAGCACCCTTTCATAGATTAGGTGTGTGTGAAGGATGCAAGTTGGGTCATGTCTGCTCTTCAAATGTAGCTGTATTGCAGACAAGCTTCCCCCCTCCCCTTCCCACAATCGTTCATCCATTCCCTCAGAACTGTATTCACAGGCATTCAAGCTGGTGTTCCAGTTGCCTTGCTAGCTGGTGTTGCCACCCACTGGTGTTTTCAAGGCTGTGCTGATGTCCAGAGGAAGCTTCACCCAGGCTTTTGAACTTATAAAAGCAAATGCTAAGAAAGAACGGAATGAGGGGTGTAGGAAAAGTGAAAGCAAAAGACCTACAGACAAGAAAGCAAAGGTGACATCTGGAGATCGGCAGCTATTACAACAGAACTTTCATTCAACTGTCAAGACCACAAGCTGTGGTGGGCAGCATGGTGGAGACTTAGTAGGAATTAAAAAAATACTGAAATAGCACCTCATCCCAACTAATGCAAGGATGTTTGGAAAAAGATAAAGATTAAAGACTTTAAGACTTTAGTTTCAATTCAGTATTAGAAGATTAAGTATTGAAAATATGGGGTTTTTATAGAGAATTAATAACATTGGATAAGATATTAGTGGGGACTAATGACAAATTGATAAGGATATTATATAATTATTAAATTATAACATGGAAGAAGAACAAGTCAAAGAGATGATGATAGTATGGGCTAAAATTTTTGGATATAACATAGAACCCTTATAGGAATAAGGGTGGGTAAGTGGAAGATATCACTCATACCCTGGTCATCTCATGGCTTGATTATTGCAATGAGCTCTACATGGACTGTCCTTGAAGACCACTTGGAAGATTCAGCTAGTCCAGAATGTAGTGATTGCATGCCTTGATATCCTAATTTAACACATGTTTTTGCAAACTACACTGGTTGCCAGTTTGCTTCTTGGTGTGATTCAAGTTACTATCTATAAAGACCTATAGGGCCTGGTTACTTGAAGGATTGCCTGTCCCCCATAGCATCTGCCTGATCAATCTATATCTGGCAGGATTTATGCACTGTAGTTCCATTGCTTTATATATAACTCAAGGCAGAGATCAGAAACCTTTATCTTACAAAGGCAGAAAATACCTAATAATCCTGCCAGATTTTTGTTTTGAGATTTTACTCAGTTGACTCATTTGCCGAGATACTAACCCATTTAGGGATAACAACTGCTATGCAGAACTGAACAGGCAGATTACTAAACTCTGATGTATCACATTCTGACAACTGTGGTGACTCCCTGACCAAGCTCTTCCAAAGTATGTATGCAATTTCAAATATATTTCTCTTATATACAGAGAATATAAATGAATTATATAGATTATGCATAATTAAACTGTAGTACTTTAATGTAATTGTCATAAAAAGCACCAATTTTTCCAAAAAAACTCTTTTATCTTATTCCCTAAAATGGCAAAAAGTCCACATTTTTTTAAAAAAATAATTAGGACATACAAGATTGAAACAAATTGTAAATAAGTTACTCGAAAAGAAGATTAAATCTGCTAAATTTGTTTTTATGTATTGCAAATAACAAGACTCTTGAAGTGTTAGCTTCTATTTCTTCTAAAAAAATTTGAGACGTGTTTGGCCATCATGTCTCCTAGGATCTTTTTCAAAAGTTAGACGCCTTTTTTTAAGCTGTGGTAATTGCATAAATTCTAAACCTGCCAAAAAAGAAAGAAAGAAAGAAAGAAAGAAAGAAAGAAAGAAAGAGAAAAAAAATAAATCATTATCAAATAAACAGTTTACAATTATACAAATTCAGTTCATACAATATATATGTGTGTGTGTATGCATGAATATATCATTATAACAATGATATAGCAATGTTAGAGTTATCTATAATGAATTTGCTAGTAAGTATTGAACTTTTTTTTTAAATTTATATCAGATTAAAAGGGAGTTTGGTAACATCTGGAAGGTTTTAGGGACCACAAGACATCCTGAAGCCTCAGATTTTGTGCATCTGGCCTGAAATTTCGTATTATTTCTCTGAAGTATAAGTGATATAAAACACATAAATATACTTCTTAGGAGAGCTCAGGTAGATTTCCCTTTGGAACACCAGCCAAAACTTCTACCATGCCTTTAGTTGACTTTTTGTTATGCCTAATTACTTGGTTTAACTTTAGAATATATAGAGAGAGAATATATAGAGGCCTCAGGATGTCATCTGGTCTCTAAAATCTTCCAGTTGTTACCAAACTCCCTTTTTATCTGATATAAATAAAAAAAAATGTTCAATAATTACTAGCAAATTCATTATAGATAACTTTAACTCTAACATTGTTATAACTCTTCTTGAATCAAATCTTTGCTTTCTAATAATCAAGAAGCTTAACCTGAGGAAAAACTGTAAACATCATTTGTATATCTTTTTAAATGTAATTTTAATATGTGTTAATCTCTCAATTATTTAATAAAACAAAACTGACTGTATTTCAGTTGTTATTTTCCCATTCTATGCAAATAGCAAATGAAACATTCCATATTTTTAAACTAGTGGGAATCTAATAAATGTATAGATTAAAATCAAGAACTCTTGAAATTCTTAACTTCTGTCAAAATAACTTTATTTGATTCATTAAATTAAATTTAATCAACTTTAGCCTTTATTCTGATCAGTCATTCACTTTATGGAATAGTTCTAAGCCTGCCATCCAACAGTATTACTTCTTGCTCTGAAAAATATGCATGTCCCCATTTTAACCTTGAAAAGAAATTGTTGCAGTCTAAATATTTTTCACTTCATTTCCCCTTGTACTGCTATTTTCTTTTTCTATATACATTTTTAATCTTTTGTGCCTCTGTTAGTAAAGTCTGGTCCAAAAAGGCCTCTGTCTGTCCTAAATACAATAGTTTTCAAAATGTTTCACAATTCTTTCTCATTTGAAAAACTACAGAGTAGCACACTCCACTACATAATAAATAGAAAAAAGAGTTGTATGTAGAAATACAGATTCTGCGTAGAATACTGTA